GGTTTCTTGAGGTGCGTCCCCACTGCATCTGAGGGGGCACCGAAAGGTACCGATACCGCTGCTCCCTGGACCTCTCCCAGGGTGCGCTCTGACCAGGATTTCGAGGCGAATCCAGCGGTGGCGACGAGGGCCTCCCAGGAGGCCGAACAAGGGGAAAACTGGCGAAGGGTAGATGTACGGATACCTTTTCCTCCTCGGAGTATCCAGATCAGGGGCGCGCCCGAGGAGCGCCCTCGGGGTGCCCTGGGGAGCGCCCAGAACGCCCTGGGGCAGCGCCCAGCAGCTCTCTTGGCAGCCCTTCTTGAGGGCCGCCACAATTTCGCAAGCGCGAGTGTGCACCCATCGGTCGGAAGAAATAGGTAGAAACATGAAGTAGGAAGGCGTTGAAAGTAGAGCGGGTTCCGTCCGCCCCCTAAGGAAGACGGGGAAGGTGAAGCCACGCGATCATTGAAGTAGGAAGGCGCTTAAAGTAGCTTGGAATCTGGGAATCCAAAAATACCTACTTTCAACGACCGATGGGTAAGAAATTCTCTGTATGGGGTGGGGGGCCTCCGCAAGCGCAACTGTCATCTCTCGGAGTTTGCTCCTTTACAAGATAGGGATAACGGAAAGCCCACCATGCGGCCCGCACCACGTGATGAGTCGAGGGTAACAGGTGCCTCCACATCCTCGTCTTCATCGAGGATCCGATGCGGGGAATGCACCGTCCTCAATCGGGCAAGCACGGAATGCAGAATGCACATGTTCAAAACAAGTGCTGCCTTTCCCCCGCTGGCCAAGCCTTCCTCAGGTAATCCAAGGTAACACCGCCAGCCTTCCTCAGACATGGCGTCGGGGGACAGGTGAACCGCGCCAAGAGACGGCCCTGGGCCCGAGCCCTTTCGGGGACAGTAATAGCCGTCTCGATATTTGGGGAACCAAAAGTTACTGATGCCGCTACTCCACGGACCTCTCCTGGGGTGCGTTCTGACCACAATTTCGAGGCAAATCCAGCGGTGGCGACGAGATCCTCCGAGGAGGCCCGAAAAGGGGAAAACGGCCGAAGGGTAGAGGTATGCTCCTCCTCCTCCCCCTCCTCCCCCTCCCCCTCCCCCTCCTCCTCCTCCTCGCCCTCCTCCTCCTCCTCATCCGAAGACTGCCCGAGCCGTCGGATGCAGGGGCCCTGGGGCCAGAGGCCGCCCCCCTGGGAGCTCTCCTGGGAGCTCTCTCTTGCCGGGCAAAACTCTCTCGAGGAGGCGGGCCGAGGCCGTGGCCACGAGGGCGCGCGGGGCCCAGATAGAGGAAAAAGAACTATGCACATACACCGATTCTGGCCAGGCCCATCCTGAGTCCAGGATCGGTGCATACGCCCTCCTACCTTGGCTAGGAAGGCATATGCACCGATCCTGGGTCAAGGATGGGCCTTGCCAGGATCGGTGCATGTGCATAGTTCCCTTTGCCCGACCAGAGGCGCCCAAGAAACCGGGAAGCCTCCCAGAGGGAGTCCGCGTGGATGGGACCCGATGGTCGCGCCGCATCGGCGATGCCTCGGCGACGCCGGCGTGGAGAACGTCGGGCGGCATCGAGCCGCATCGCCGAGGCATCGGCGGTGCGGCGCGATCCTCCGAGCCTGTCTTCTCGGAGCCCATTGCTGGAGGATTGGGATCGGATGCTGACACCAACGCAGCGGCGAGCGAGGGGGGGGAAGTGAGAAGGAGAAGGCCTTCTCAGAAAGCTCGGAAGTTCCCCGGCCTTCTGAGAAGTTCTCTAAGCCTTCCCCGAAGGCACAACAAACTCTCAGAAGGCGCGAGGCCTTCTGAGAAGACCCGCCGCCTTCTGAGAGGGCCTTCTTCTTTTCACTTCCCCCCCTCGCCCGCCGCCGACCAACTCAGGATGGTGCCTCCAAAAGAACAATAGTATTCTGGATGTTGGCATTGGTGGCAATATTTCGGCCACCCGGGACGCCCGAGAATCACCACCATCACCGAGATCAGGCTCATCTACCCTCGGTGGAGGCAACGATATTGGTGGTCGTGTCAACCTCGAGGTCTCCGACCCAACCCCCGTCTTTACTCGACGAAGGAGACCCCCAATGGCATCTCGAAGGCGTAGTACACAATGCAAGACGATCCGCCGCAGTAAGCTCGTGCCTAGACCCCTGCCCGCTACGCAGGCCTGGGTTGGAGGTCGTTGGGACGGCAGCGCTGTTTCCAGGGCCAAATCATCCCGTCAATAGCACAGTCCTCACGACCCCCCCTTCGCAAGAGGCTCGGATCTCAGGCTTGCTCTCACCAACGATCGGGCTGCTCAGGCTTGCTCTTACCCTACGATTAGGTCGGGCCTGTCCCCCTACAGGTGGATTTTGGGGGAAAATTGAAAGTACTCGACAAATACGCCCGAAATTCTCAAAAAATAGTCACAAAGTCGTTCCCACATGAATTGTTGCTACTGTTTGTGAACATCCTCCCGGTAGAAGGACATGCCCGACTTAATATCACCCCCTCCTCCGCCGCCCCAGAAACACGGACCGCGCTCGCTGCCCCTCAGCGAGCTTCCAGGCCTGGGGCGTATCGTTATGTCGGGCGTGTCCCCCTACAGGGGGATTTTCGACGAAAAATAGAAAATACCCCAAAAATGCAGCAAAAAGGTAAGAAATACTCAAAAAATAGTCCCCAGACTATTTTTGGACTATGCTTTGATTCTTTTGGGGGTATTTCCTATTTTCCGTCGAAAATCCCCCCTGTAGGGGGACAGGCCCGACTTACGCGTATCGCCTGCATGGCCCCGACCTCCCCCAACTGCCGGAGGCCCGCCCAGAACACGCAGAGAGCAACACCAATCAAACCAACAACACCCAAGAGCCCGGCCGCCGGCCTGACGCCGCCCCCCGCCTCCGGCGCCTGCAGGAGCCCCCTCGCGCCCCGGGCTCTCCGGAGACCGGCGGCGGCGAGGCGCGAGCGCGGCGGCGCGGCAGCACGACGGCGCGGGCGGGCGCCCGCGGGGGGGCCTGGCCGGCGGCCGCGACCACGAGGCTCTCGCCCACGAGCACGGCGACCACGGCCTCTCGCCGGGAGGGGCGGGGCGGTCCCGCGGGGGGGGGGGCGGGGGCGTGGTCTGACGAGGGGCGAGTTAGAATGAAAATGAATGGAGGGAGGAGGGGGGGAGGAGGAGGGAGGAGGGAGGAGGGGGAGGGGAGGAGGAGGAGGAGGAGGAGGAGGAGGAGGAGGAGGAGGAGGAGCCAGACGCTGGACGCTGGGCACGGCGCCAGGTGGTCCGCGGGGCGGCCCTGCGGGGGGCCCAGCGGGCGCGCCGCGCGGCGCCGACGGGTATGGCAAGTCACGTGCTGGGGGAGCGGGAGGAAGCAGAAGAGCCGGCCGGCCGATGCACACATCCTTTGGGTCGGGCGTGTCCTCCCACAGGCGGATTCGGGAGGAAAGATTAGGAATAGTCAGACAAATATTCAAAAATGCACAGGAATGGTCGGAAAAAATCGTCCCCACACTGTGTTTGAATGTTCCTCCTGTAGAGGGGCATGCCCGACCTAACTCATCCTGACGTTGCCGCTGCCGCTGCACGTCGTGTTCCTCGACCTGAGGCCACAGAGCGCGGCCCGTGCTCAAGGAGGGAGGGCAGCAAGCGGTGGAACGGGCGGACTGACGAGGGGCGAGTTATTTTGAATGACAATGAATGGAAAAGGAGGAGGGGGAGGAGGAGGAGGAGGAGGAGGAGGAGGAGGAGGAGGAGGAGGAGGAGGGCGGAACACGGTGCACCCTTCGCGCACCCTCGGGGCGCCTCTCCTGCAGCCTCGCAGCCCCCCGCCCCCCTTCGCCCCCGGAGGACGGGGCATCGCGCTGCCACGGGGAGCGCGCTGCAGGAGGCGCCAGGGACATGCTCCGGCCGCGCGGCGAGGCCCGGCCACGACCAGAGCCCCCCCAGGGCCCGCGAGGTCTCGGCTGGGTCTGCGTGGACCTCCACTCCGCTGGACCTTCCAGGAGCCCACGAAAATGGTGACAATTGCGTGGTTCGCAGCCCCGCACGGCGCCGCGAGGTCTCGGCTGATCTGCTTGCTCCGCTGGACCTACGGCCTGGACCGATGCAGAACGGGCCGAGGACCAGAGCTGCGGAGCCCGCAGGGGCCCTTCGGCCACCGCCTGGACTGCACGAAGGCGCCCAGAAGGCAGGCCCGGGGCGGGCCTCGGCAGGCGGCGCGGTGAAGAGGCGTGGGAAGCACGGGGTGCGTTGCGGCTGCGGCGGCGGCGGCCTTCGTCCATGCGGCAGCAGCGGCTGGAACGACTGCCGGGGCTCTTCCTCCTGGCCCCCCCTGCTTCCTCGGGAGGGGGGGGGGCCTCTTGGGGCCCACTGGGGGCATCTTGCCGGGCTCGGTGGCTGATTACGGTGGCCCCAAAGGCCCAGAGGGCTCCGAAGGCCAGTTCGAGCTCCCCCCCCTGGGGCCCCTCTGGGTGCCGTCTTGGGGGCCTCTTGAGCCGTCTAGGGGACCTCTTGGGGGGGGGGCGAGGCGGTGGTCCGACGCAACAAGGGGGTCAACAAAGGCCCCAGGAGGGGGCGGTCGGGAGCGACCCTGCGGGAGATCGCCAGCGAGTCGCCTCCCAGAAACGGATCGGATCGCGGCGCCAGCCGGCGATGCGAACCGCATCGAATCGGATTGTACGCTAGCAAGGCTTCGGGTTGCGCACAGCTGGCCCCACCAGGCCACCCGAGTGGCCCGTGTGGCGGTCTCAACACCCTGGCTTGGGGTATTGAGACCACCCCAGACTACTCGGGGGGCCTGTCGAGGCCAGCTGGGACTACCGACTACCTGGGGGGGGCTGTCTGTGCGCCACCCGAAGCCTTACCAGTAGGCGTCCCTGCGTTCGTGCGTCGGTCCCGCCCAGAAGATCAGCGGCCCCGGAGCAGAAGGAGGGCCTCGCAGCCCCCGAAGGCGTGCTGCCCGGCCAGCAGGTCGCGGTCCAGCCCCTCGAGCGTCTCGCGCAGGAGCGTGGCCAGCGACCGAGCAGAGGAAGCTGAAGCGAAGGACGTCGTCGACCGTCGTCCTCCTCCTCCTCCTCCTCCTCCTCCTCCTCCTCCTCCTCCTCCTCCTCCTCCTCCTCCTCCTCCTCCTCCTCCTCCTGCTCTCTCCTCCTCCTCCTCCTCCCTCCTCACCCTCCACTCCCCCATCCCTCCCACTCCTGATCCTCCTCCCCCACTCCTTGCTCCTCCTCCTCCTCCTCCTCCTCTCTCCTCCTCCTCCTCCTCCTCCCTATCATCATCATCATCATCATCATCAGCATCATCATCCGCATCATTCATCATCATCATCATCATCATTCATCATCATCATCATCATCATCATCATCATCATCAGCATCAGCATCAGCATCAGCATCAGCATCAGCAGCATCAACAGCAGCATCATCAGCAGCAGCAGCAGTAGCATCATCATCATCATCGTCATCATCATCATCATCAGCATCATCATCATCATCATCATCCATCATTCGCATCATCATCATCATCAGCATCAGCATCAGCAGCAGCATCATCATCGGCATCAGCATCGGCATCAGAAGCATCATCATCATCATCAGCAGCAGCAGCATCATCAGCATCATCATCGTCGTCAGCATCATCATAATCAGCAGCATCATCATCATCATCAGCATCAGGATCATCAGCATCATCAGCATCAGCATCATCAGCGTCAGCAGCATCATCATGATTATCATCTTCAGTAGAATCATCATTACCCTGCTCACCCATCATCTGCATCATCATCGTCGCTTCACAGCACCATCATCAGCAGGTTCATCATCAACATCGTCATCGTCATCGTTATCATCATCAGCATCAACATCATCAGCAGCATAATCATTATCATCAGCAGCATCATCAGCATCATCATCACCATCATCAGCATCATCAGCATCATCATATTCATCCTCATCCTCATCTTCATCCTACTCCTCATCCTCCTTCTACTCCTCCTGCTCCTCCTGCTCCTCATGCTCCTGCTCCTGCTCCTGCTCCTGCTCCTGCGCCTCCTCCTCCTCCTCCTCCTCCTCCTCCTCCTCCTCCTCCTCCTCATCCGCCGTTCGCGAACGCCTCCCCAGACACCCTCGCGTCGATGAAAAATCACGACGTGGATTTGTTTTGCCATGTTTGGCATCTGGGGGCCCTCGCTTTGCCCAAGGATCGTCAAACAAAAGGCCCGGAATCAAAAACTAGTCCCAGGGAATGGGCCGAGACCCCCGGGGACGCTGTGACAAATTCATGAGGTCGGGGGTCTGTGGACGTTGTTGTCGTCCTCCTCCTCGTCCTCCACCGCCTTATCCTCCTCCTCCTCTTTATCCACCGCCTTCTCCGCAGGGAACGAGGTGGAAGTCAAGGGCGAGGACGGCGAGGACCGCGGAGGACGACGAGGGGCGAGAACGACGACGGAGGAAGCGGAGGACGAAGAGGATGGGGAGGGAGTGGACGAGTAGGGTGTGGACAAGGAGGATGCGGACGGGGATGGTGCGGACGAGAAGGACGATGCGCATTAGAAGGAGGGGGGGAGGAGGAGGAGGCGGAGGAGGAGGAGGCTGGTCGCAGACGTCATGTTCATAATCATCATCAGCATCATCACAACCATCAACAACAACAGAATCAGCATCAGCAGCGTCATTATCAGCATCAGCATCATCATCATCGTCATCATCATCATCAGCATCATCATCATCAGCATCATCGTCGTCGTCAGCAGCAGCATCATCAACATCACCATCATCATCATCATCATCATCATCATCATCATCACCACCATCATCATCATCATCATCATCATCATCATCATCATCATCATCATCGTCAGCATCATCAACATCATCATCAGCAGCAGCATCAGCATGGTGATCGTCAGCATCATCATCATCAGCAGCAATATCCACATCATCATCATCATCATCATCATCATCATCATCATCATCATCATCATCATCATCATCATCATCATCGTCATCATCATCATCATCATCATCATCATCATCATCATCTGCATCATCATCATCATCATCATCATCATCATCATCTTCGGAAGCATCCTCTCAACCACCATCATCCTCAGCATCAGCATCACCAACAGCAGCAGCATCACCATCATTATCACCATCACAATCAACACCGCACATCACAATCAACACCATCAGCTTCATCATCAGCAGCAGCAGCATCAGCATCCTCATCATAAACAGCATCGATATCGCAGTCACCGCACCACAAATGCTATCGCAACCAATGTCATATTCATCGGCAGCAACGTCAGCATCAGAACGAATGACCACCATCATGATCGTCAGATTGAGCATCGTCATCATCATCATCATCATCATCACCAGCAGCAGCACAATTGTATTCATCATCAGCGTCAGCATCATCGCAATCATGATCGTCGTCTTCATCAACAGCAGCAGCGACATCATCGCCATCATCAGAATCATCATCAGAATCCTCAACATCATCATCATCATCATCATCATCATCATCAGCAGCATCATCATTGTCGTCGTCACCATCATCACTGGCATCGTCATCGTCATCATCATCGTCATCAGCATCACCATCATCATCATCATCATCATCAACAAAACAAGCATCGTCCTCGTTATCATCACCATCATCATCGTCGTCCTCAGACATCGTCTTCCTCATCGTCCAAACCAGCCTCCACAACGTCATCATCCCTCATCCCTCCCTTGAGGGGTCAAACCTGCACACTAGTAGGACTACACTACAGAACAGATACCCTCTCTCGACGGGGCACCTGAAAACTGTGTTGGAGAGGACGGGTCACACAAAACAACGCGTGTTCATCGAAAACGTGTTCAGCGAGACCGAGAACGACTCTCTGGACAACTTGACTGGTCAACGATGACGGATCGGTCCACGAATCCGGAAAACAGCATATATAAACATGTATGTATATATGTGGAATTGCCCTAACTTGAAAAAGTGGCAGCGGCAACGCTGAGCATGTCCATGGTGCTGATACCGTGCCAGAGGCTGTGCTGTGTAGGGCTGTACTGTACCATGCTGCGCCGTGCTATGCTGAACAGTGCTGTTTCTTGTTGGACTGTGGTTGGTGTTGAGTGTCGACGATCACGATGGTATGGTGATGGTGATGAGGGCGGTGCTGATGATGGCGATGATGGCGATGGTGTTGATGATGATGACGAGGGTGATGATAATAGTGAAGGTGATGATGGTGAGGATTATGATGGCGATGGTGATGATGCTGAATTTCTGTGTAAAAGGATACGTGAGTGAGTGGGTGATTTTGATGATGAGCGAGGGTGGTGTTGGTGATGGCGATGGTGAGTGTGAAAGATGATGGTGAAGATGATGATGGCGTGTGTGGTGGGGAATTGTTTTTCCTGCGCGGAGTGTCCCAAGAAAACAAGAACCACAGTTAGGCTTGCATGTAGAAACGCGACATCTCTTGGGAGACCGACATTTACTTTCGCCGGCTGCCGCCAGCATTCCGCCGGCGGAGCCGGCCTCGTTCTGCTTCCGCCGTCGCCCGCCGGCCTTCCTTTTTTGGACGCTACTCCCATTCCCAAGGAAGTTTCACGGGGGCAACCAAACACAACCGCAAGAAACCGCGGCGCAGCCGAAAAAGACGGAAGGTGCCCTCACGGGGGGGAGGGCCCGTCTGCTCCAGGGCTCGTTCTGGGACGAGTCCCAGGGGGGGGGGGCCGGCCATGGCGACGAGGGCGCCCCCGTCGTCGTCGTCGTCGTCGCCGCCGCCGTCGGCGTCGCCGCCGCCGCCGTCATCGTCGTCGTCGTCGTCGGCGTCGCCGCGCACGAGAGATTGCAAAAACACGAAGGATTGCAAAGGATTGCAAAAAAACCCTTTTGCGAAGGGTTGCAAAAAAACCCTTTTGCGAAGGGTTTTTCTGCAATCCCAGGTTGTTTGGCAATTTTTTGCAATCCTTCGCAGCGGTGCATCGACCCCGAGGAAGAGATGACAACTCCGTCGGCCCTCGAAGGCGAGGCCCTCCCTGGAACGCCGCCCCGGGCCGGCTCCCGGAGCCGGGGGCCTGCGCACGGAGCGGTGAGGGAGAGGGGTACGGGCGCCCCCCCGGTGGCTCCCGAGCCCCGGGATCGGACAAAGGGGGGGCGAGGGAGAACGTGACCCCCGAGAGCAAGACCAAGACCTGCCACCACTGACGACCTTTCAGTCGGGCCTGTCCCCCTACAGGGGGATCTTCGAGGAAACAAATGTATATAAAAAAAGAAAAAGTGTTTACAATATATATATATATATATACACCCAAAATTACGTCTTTTCTATATGTATAACAATAATAAATGATTACATATATATATATGTATAAACCAAAAAAAATGATTATTGTTTGACTATGTTTGAACATTCCCCCTGTAGAGGGACAGGCCCGACGTAAGACTACCTACCAGACCACCCCAAGCCGACCCGAAGACCCGAATTTGAGCCGAATTTAGGGTTTTGGGGGGGGGACGGGCGCCATGTGTTTTTGCAATGCTCCCCGACCCCCCCCCACACCACACTGGAAATGGAGGGCAAATTGAAGCCTTCGGGTTGGGTCGGGGTGGTTTGGTGGGTGGTGAACCACCACGAGAACTCCGCTCCCAGGGGCCACCCCCCGAGCTGGTGGCACTCCACTCCGTGTACTTCCTGGGGGCGCGCCCGGCACGGGGTGACACCAGCTCGGGGAAAGGAGCGGCCAGTCCTCTAGCGGCTGGTGGTGGCGATTCGTTCTTCTCTGGTGCGCTACGGTCGGGCACTGCTGCTTCGCTTGTCGCCGCGGCGGCCCAGGCGCGACACGCCGTGCGCGCCGCTGCGCTCCGCGGCGCGGGAGGCTCGGGAAAGCTTGGGTCTTGGACGCCTGGGGTGATGAGCCGGTGTTCCACAACCACTACATCAGGTAGGAGAGGGAGGAGGAGGAGGGGGAGGAGGAGGAGGAGGAGGAGGGGGAGGAGGAGGAGGAGGAGGAGGACCTCCCCATCC